AACACTAGGCATTTGTTTTAATAACAGCGAAAGCACTTTAAAATGGATTAGAACCTAGAGATTTCCAAAAAGTAGTTTTAACCCCGAATGGGACAGCGAAAGCGTACATTCGGCCCTTAGAATTATGACTAGCGTCAACAACCATCGTGAGACGAAAGTCTTCAGATCACTATTTTCTTCTGAACAATGTTTGCAAAGAGTAAGAAGCATCGGTGACCTGTCGAATCCCAGATAACTAAGTCTTTGCATACTGATATCCTTTACCTCATTTCTCTAAACCAATTTTCTTTATTTCTTTTGCATTTAATTTCATTCGCATTCAATTTTCCTAATTCCAATAGCCTTAGCTTTACGCCGTAATAATAGATAACGGTAGATTGACATTGGCCTCTGTGGGTTCGGCGATCTTTTATATTACTTCGATATTTCCGTGCACTTGCGGAGCGATCAAAACATAGCAAACTTGATATAATAAACTTAACGTATCAGTATTTCTATAAATACATGATGTGACTACATCAATTCAATTAATCCAATTACATTGAATATAACTTATTCAATCATTTTTCTCAATTATGCCTCTTTTATTTATTTTTAGTAAATAAATATTACAAAAATATCATTTACCTAAAAGGAGCTTAGATTAATTTATTATATTAGATTACTTTATGCATTTAAATAACTAAAAAATGATTTTAAGAATATAAATATAACACTACCTACATTAGGTAGGTTTTATTATCTTTCTACACGTTTTAAACCTTTAGTGATATGCAGGTTTCGTTTGTACAAAAATCCTCTCAAATTATAGTTTTAGAGGATAAGTACCGATTTACATTAGAGAGTTTCTTATCCCACCCCACAAGTTTCTTAGACATTGTGTGAATTTTCTATAATGTCTTTAGTTTTCGAAGATATATTTTTGAACGTACCATTTTTACACTCAAGGAAGGCCATTATGGATGACAACCCATGCATTTGCTACAGATTTATTCCTAAGATATAACTCCAGAATGATTTGGAGAAAATATGAATATTAATCATTTTAGTGAATGTTCCAGAGATATATCTCTAGAAGATGTGGGTGACAATTTTAATTTTCCTTTCACATTTGTATGTCACATAATTTCGGAGATATATCTCCGGAAGTATCTGTTATATTTTCCAACTGCATGATCAGTCCCTATTGCTGTCATACTTCTATTTCAATTCAAACCCTCACCCTTAAAAACCGTACATTCTCAGTCTCATTTTTCACTCCAAATATCCATCTTTTTAGTTCAACATATCACAGGGAACAAAAGAAGATCGAATTTCAGGTAAAGATTGTTCATTTCCATCTATATTGCTCACATTAATCATGAAAATTTTCTGGAAAAAAATTATGCAGTGTTCAAAGATATATCTTCAGAACATGTTGGACATGAACTTTTCCAGAGATATATTTCCAGAATGTTTATGTCTTTATTTTCCATTATTTTTTGCAGCAGTAGATGAATTATGTTTAATTCTTTTATTGTTTCCAATAGATATGGTGCACCTCAATAATATCTCAAAGCAAGTAGTTTCTTCGAACGATGCTTCTGCGAATGTTCAAGGGGTTGTTGTAAAGGCGGTAGATGTTAGCGACGACTTTATTAACAAGCAAGAGTTTGAAAATCATGATAACATGCTCGAATGGAATCATATGGTGGCATCTAGACTTGGATTTGGCGTGGTTATTGGAATGTCGGATAATGGCTCGAATAGAAGAATGCCTTTGTGACTATGTTGTGAGAAAGAAACACAAGCTATGGAACGTATGTCCATAATTTTAAGAGAGAAGACACGGGTAGTAGAAAATGTGAGTGTCCGTTTAAACTTCGTGGTTACATGTTGGCTAGCAAAAAATTGAGATTTTATGTCATTTGTGGGTTGCATAACCATGAATTATGCTTAAAATTAATCAGTCATCCTAGTGTATGTCGGCTCAAGCCGGAGGATAAGGTATTCATTAGAAAAAAGATGGAGATTTAATGCATTTGTGGTTTACATGTTGGCTAAAACTATTGTTACAGACTGCGATACCGCATCGATGAATGTGGTTGCAAAGGTATTTCCTTCTTCTTAGGCATTACTTTGTAGGTATCACATAACAAAGAATGTAAGAAGTCGAGTTAAACCTGCGGTAGGGACGAAACAAGTAGAGTCTGATGGTGGAAAATTGGTGAAGTCAGTGTGGTTGTTGAAAAAATAATGGATGCATGTAATCATATAATAAATTCTTCCTCAAAAGAATTATATGTTGATTTCGTCATTCATTTCTGAAAAGTGTGTGAAAAGTATCCTGCTTTATAGAAATACATTGAAAGCAAAATTCTTGATCAGGTAAAAGAGAAGATAAATTGGGCATGGACTGATAATGTCCGACACCTTGAAAATATAACTACCAACAGAGTTGAGTTGACCCATGCTACTTTGAAAAATTGATTGGAAAATAGAAAGGGGGATTTGTGTCGAGATTGAGACTTTGTGAACCACATGATTCAAAACCAACATAATGAGATACATACAACATTTGGTCGGAGCATCACAGTTTTGGAACACCGATTTAAAAACAATAATCTTTATTCTCATTTGGTCGGAAACATTTCTCAGATGGGGTTGAACTATATTTTTCACGAGCCAAACAGGTTGATAATGTATGCTTCGATAGTGCAAAGTATGGTTGCACTGTTGTGAAAACATATGGCCTCCTATGTGACTGTGTTATTGCTAAAAAGGTGAAACTTGGTGAACCAATAAGAATATATGAGGTTTGCTCTCATTGGAAGAGACTTAGTTTCGGTGATGGTGGATGTATGGATAAAGGTAAATTGCATATCTCAATTTTGACTGAATCGAAAGCGATACAAGAGAGATTTTTGAAGGCCGACGACAACATGAAACTGTACATCAAAGAACAATTCAAGAAGATTGCTTATCCCGAAGCCACCGACATGATACTTCACACAAGCTCAAAATGTCTCAAATGTGTGAAATAAACATACGTTGGTATGTCGCAAGTGTTTTCTACTACAATGCCTCTACACCCGAGAGGACGTTTAAGCTCACCGATCTCATATCCCTCGATGATATCATAGACGAAATCCATTATTTTCTACTTTACTGTTAGTTCTAGGATTGACAACAATTTTGGTAAAACTTGGTGTTATCACAAGATGTCCTAGAGGATGTCTTGACATAGGATCCTAACATTCTGCAGGTGGTTATTCTTAATGGTGCATGGTTTAGTTCATGATGTCAAGTATGATGTCCTGACATTTGTGAACAGAACATTCAGTGAGAATGTTATGTGTTATCTGTTGCATTTTTGTGCAACCTTTTGTGCTTTTATGATAAGGATTTCTGCAGGTGCAAACCAACGTGGAGATCTTCTTTAAACAAAAGAGCTTCTGCTAGTTAATTCGTGGAGTACTGTGGAATCTTTTGTTCTATTTTCATGCAGAAAATCTTGAGAAGATTGGAAGTGTGATTTGATTTGATTTGACCAAATCAGTTTTGGTTCTATTTCTATGATGTTAATTACAAAAAGATTTGAAGAATCATCTGATTTGATTTTATCAAATCAGAGGTAGTTTTTGCTAAAGCCCAAGCATGTTCAAAGTGTTACTATATAAAGACTTTACAATCCTATTTTGTAGATTAGAGAAGTTAGGGTTGTAAGAGTGTGTTGCTTAAGGAATAAGGTTTCTACCTTATTGTGTTATTGTTAATTGTGAGTCATTCACTCATCATCTTGATGTGTGAATTGGATTGAGTCTTTGAGTTGTAAGTTGTCCACTCTAAGCGTTTAAGCAAGAGTGCATCGTTCTTGATTGAAACTTTTAAGCAAGATCAAGTATTGTCCTTGAAGAGTGTCTTCTATGTTTTACTAATCTGTTTTTATCACTGTTGTGATTAAAGGAGAGTGAGGTGTCTCGTCCTTGAAGAGTGTCTTCTATGTTTTACTAATCTGTTTTTATCACTGTTGTGATTAAAGGAAAGTGAGGTGTCTCTTATCTAAAAGTGTCTTAGATAGAAATTGCAAGGGTAGATATTAGATGCGAAGATTGTAAACTAGAGAGAGTTTGTTGTGAATCTTCAAACTAATTCTATTTAGTGAATTTCTTTCCTGACTTGGTAGCCTCCAGACGTAGGTGTGTTTGCACCGAATTGGGTTAACAATTGCTTATGTCTCGTTACTATTGTTATTTGCTTTTTATCTTGTTCATATATTAGTAACTGTTCAGATATTAGTGTCATGACATCTCTTTCGACATCTCATATCTGATACCAGAATTTTATTTACAAAGTCACGAAAAAGATTGTCAAACTTGAATATCAATCACCCTCAGTTGACAAAGAAGAGAACATTATGTTCAACAAATGGCGATGTGGCAAACGTTTTTCAATTTTGAGAAGAAAGTTCCGCTTGAGATGGAAGCGACACTATGAAAATCGGTCAAAAATATCTTGAAGATGAACAAGTATCCGCTAAAATATTGAAATGTAGTATTTACATTTCTGTTGAAATTATCATTATAATACTCATTTTATATTAAAAAAAAATTTATTGTGTTGATTTTGTTCCAAAAATATAACAACAATATTGTTTCTCGAAATTATATCTCTGAAATAAATCTTTAACAAATGCTGAGAATGCCATCTAAAATTTCCGAAAACTAAAGGCATTATAAGAAATACATACGGTATCTAAGAACTCATGGGTTGTAGTAAAAAAATCTCTTCACGTTAACTTGGAAGATGAGCCAAACGTTTCTATAAATGAAGTTTAACATTTCAATAAATGAAGTTTCAGGGTGACCTCCCAAAGAACTAAAATAATTATTGTACAACATAATATTACAAAGAATAAAAGAGATGGAAACATCAACGAGTTCAAAATTTTGAAAATGAGTAGCTAAAAAAGAATCACATGGTATTATAGATTAATAATCTAGACTAGATTTCTGGAAAAGCTACCATCCGTTGTAACTTCTCTGAAATCCATTACTATTTGAGTTGCCAAACCTAGAAGCTGAGTGCCCGTGATGAAAAGTTCTGGCTGATGATCCTTCTGAATTAGGAGTTCCATCATAAAAGTTCTGTGTAAAAGATTTAGATCCAAGATTGTGACTACCATTATTAACAAAATGATTTGGAGTACTATTATTATTAGTACACGGTGTTACTGGAGACCTCCAACTATCCCTTTTGGAATTGGAAGGAGTGAATTCACTAGGATGGTCTGACATCCAACCACCTCTGTGCTTTGATTTCTTTGGTGTTTTAATGTCACTTCCCTCTGTATAAGGTTCAGAGGTATATCCCATGTAGTCGTTCTCTTTCTGAGATCGTGGTGTTTCTGTGCTTGAGAATTTATGTTTCCTGTTGCTTGCCTGTGGAGTTTAACACAGTAGACAAAAATTGATTTATTCAGTTACTCTAGACGAAACTGAGGGAAGATTCAAGTATTACGTGGAAAATAAAGCATTAAAGCCAATAATGAGATAATAGCAAAAACATCTCTAGCATTTTAAAAAGCACCTTAACAGAACTTGAGCATTCTCGGGCAAAATGTCCTTCTTCGCCACACCTGTAGCATGAACTAGGTGTGGCTGGATCGGTGATCTCAGGTTGCCATCTTGAACTTGCCTGCATTGATTGATACATTATTTGTGTATAAAAGTTTGTAAAAATAGTTTGGTGCATAGACCACCACCAACGACAACAACAAGAACTAAGCCTTATCCCACTAAGTTCGTAAAATACTGGTTAATTTTAGTACGAGAAAAGATGAAATTAAGGAAAAGGCAAACCAAGCTACCCTCGGAAAGAAAAAGGCATGCATAAATGATGGTCTAGATCAATGAGGAGAATAACAAATAACATAAAAGATTAATAGATAAAATCATTTCAACAATCACATCTTGAAAGTCACCTTAACAGAACTTGAGCATTCTCTGGCAAAATGTCCTTTTTCCCCGCATGTATAGCACGAACTAGACCTGGCAGCATCAGTGGCCTCGTTTTTCAACCTTGAACATGCCTGCATCAATTGATCTTTATACTCGTGCATACTCAATTTTATTTAAATAATGAGGTATTTACGTGTCCAATAAAAAAAATTAAAAACAGATCAGCGTGCTTTACTCCCAGTAGACAAAAAGATGAAACTAATGGAAAAGCAAGACATTAAAAGACTCACCCAACCAACATGACCCATTTTACCACATCTGTAGCAAGAAAACTCTTTTGGAATAGCCTCAGTTGTATCGACACAGCATAAGTGGCCGAATTCCTTGCAAACATAGCATTGTATTTCCTAATTAAACAAAAGAAAAGTCCCTAGTTAAACAAAAGGAAATCAAGTAAACAATCATCAACCGAACATTTCATAACCCATATCTGATGTACCCATTAATAACCAAGGGAACTTCGCCAAAAACCTTCTGAACACTTTCCCATAAAATAGAAGAAGGAAAAGGAAGCAAATGAGATGGATGAGAACAACCTTGAGATCTTCCTCCGGATAATCATTTTTGCAAAAAAGCATATCATGCCCAGAATTCCCACATCTCAAGCATACTGTCAAGCTTTTAGAATAAGAACCACCCGAGTGCTTCTTTGGACAGTCTTTAGTTCGGTGACCAACTATCTTGCAGGTAGAACAATATCGTGCCTATGGAAAATATAAGGAAATTTATAATTCTAGATATACCATACACCATTATAAAATACTTTTAAGAAGAGCAGTTTGTTTAAACTTTAAAATCCACTACGCTACAACACCATCACGCAACTTTTTGACAATGTTGTCAAATAACAGCTATAGCAACGTTATAGCACCATGGCGTAGCAGAATTTAAACAAACCTCTATTTCTGTAATTGACAAGACTATGCACTAAACCGTGTAGCAAAACAATATCAATATGATCGAATTCCACTATCATGCAACACTATAGTGCCACAGTGTGCCAACACCGGTACAAACTCAAGCCAACCCAGCCCAATAGTGCATAAATTGCAACAGGAGCAGTTTAACCTAGCCACCACCAACACAGTCAAATAGACTTTACACCGTAGACTCGGCCAATCATTAAAAATGAGCAAAGATGCTAAATCAGCTAGAGTTTGCACGATAGACGGCCAACCAATAAAAACGAGCAAACACACAAATCGATCAAACCTAATGCATATAGTTGGTAACTACAGTATACATTGCTCCGGCAAAAAGAAAAAAGTGGGAGAAGCAACCCAAACATACCATAGTGCATTTTTTGACATTATGACTCAAACTACCACATATAAAGCATGGTTTCTTGCGCTTGGCAGCTGTACAGTTGAAAGTAGCATGGCCTTCTTCGCCGCAGTTAAAGCATATTCCCCAAACATTATCTGATGGAGGATCAAAATACCTGGGACCACGCTGATGATAAAACAGAAACATATACCCAAAGTAAGCATTGGAGACTGCACAATAGCATTTTCAACATCATATTTCAGAACAAATATTTCAACTCACAAGTAGCTTACGCAGAACAATGTTGCTGCTCGTATCAACCACCTCTGGTTCTGCTACAACGGGCTCCACTTTCTGCAGGTCTTCAATTGTCTCTACAGCTTTCTTTTCTTCTTCAACTATAACATCCTATAAAAGACAACATGTTTCAAAAAACACATTCCAAAACATTTAACTAATGTGGGGTAAACAGTTTTCTTTTCTTCTTCAACTATAAATGCAGTTGGAGTGTAATTCAACCACATCCTTGTAGTGTTAAGAGAGTAAACACAGTTTTCTATATAAAGGACAACAAAGAAAAAATAATGTTGCACACTGAAAATACCCAATATTCCATTGAAAATATGATGGGGGGAAATAAACTTATATGCATTAAATTTTCAATTGAACGAGTTTTATAGAAACTGACATTTACAGTTTGAATCTCAGATTCGTGGTTTTTCTTCTTCTTCTTTTGAGTCTGACTCTCCTCGCTATGTAATTTGGAAGTGGTGTTGCCTGTCAATGCATCCAAAACAGTACTAGTTAGCATACCATTTTCAACATCAAGTTTCTGAACAAATATTACACCTAGCAAGCAGCTTACGCAAAACATCACTCTCACTAGTATCAACCATGCATGTTTCCACTTCGATATGCTTCACTTTCTCTGGTGTATTGATTGTCTCTGCACCGGGCTCCCCTTTCTCTAGGTCTTCAATTGTCTCTACAGCTTTCTTTTCTTCTTCTTCAACCATAACAGCCTATATAAGTCAATACGTTATTTCAAAAAACAGAACCCAAAATCTTTTTCACCTATTTCAGGATAAACAGTCATTACTTCAACTTCAGTTGTCTTAAAATCATTAGATGTTAATAAATGCAGTTTGAGTGTGTTTCAACCACGTCCATCTAGTGTACTAGTGTTAGAGAGTAAACACAGTTTACCATCCTAAGGACAACATAGAAGAAAAAAAAACTGTAGACTGAGAAGGCACAATTTTCCATTGAAAATATAGGGGAGAAAACAACTTATGCGCAACAAATTTTCAATTGAAAAAGTCTAATAGAACTAACATTTACAGTTTGAATCTCAGATTCATGCCTTTTCTTCTTCTTCTTCTTCTTTTTCTCAGTCTTAATCTCCTCATTATGTGATGTGGAAGTGGTGTTTCCTGTCAATGCACACAAAACAGCACTAGTTAGTATTAGCATTTTCAACATCAAATTTCTGAACAAATATTACAACTCAAGAGCAACTTACTCAAAACATCATTGTCACTCCAATCAACCATACTTGTTTCCACTTTCTCTGGTGCATTGATTGTCTCTACAGCGTGCTTTTCTTTTTCTTCAACTTTAACCGTCTGTAAAAGCAAAGCCAGAGTTAATCTTCAAAAAACACAAACACAGCCCCAAATGTCTTTGAACTACTTTTGGGTAAGTGCTTATGCATATAAGCTATGCAAACTAAATTTTCAATTAACCAAGTAAACCACTTACATTTACAGTTTCAATATCAGATTCAAGCTTCTTCTTTTTCCTCTTCTTTATTCGAAGCTTATTCTCCTCACTATGCGCCTTCAAAGGGGCCATTAATGTCGATTCATTCAATGCGGCGGCGTTTTGGGGATTTGTTGCCCGATTGAGAAGCGCTTTATGGATAATCTCGAGGCTGAGATCCTTGTTTGCTTCTTCATCGTCGTCACTGATTGCTGCGATTGAAGACGTTGAACCAATTGCAGCAGCAACCTCTTCCGGCTCTATCTTCTTCGCTGGTTTTTTTCTGCTTCCCATCTTTTGTTCAATTTCTTTCTCAACCCTAACCCTATTTAGGCTATGGCACTGCTGCGTTTGGTCTGGTCCTTTCTCGGAATTAAGAAAAGCAAAATTACAAAGAAGTTAAAATTGTTTTTAAGTAATTCATTTTTTTTTATAATTGTCTCATAAAAAGTAAAATTTAAAAAAATAATAATTATATGTAATAGTTTTATTGTTTTGGTGTGACTTATTTTTTTACCATTTTTACTCTTATTTTATTGTGTAATTTACTTAATAACTTCCTATTATTAACTTTCATATAATTTATTATTTTTAACTTCCACCTAACTTCTTATTATTAATTTCCACATATTGTATTTTTTTAAAAATTATTTTAACAAAAATTATCATTTATATTTTATGCGCATTAAAAAAGCGGACGTGCCCGTCTGGACGCTAGTTAACTAATAATAATAATAGAGATGTTGGGTGGATTGGAAAAGATAATGGTGGGCTTGATGTTAATTATATTGGGTTGGTCGGTGATAGATAAGTGAATTTCTTAGAGCATTATATGCATTTCTATTGCATGATGTGAAATTTCACATATGTTTTTTTAATTTTGGAGATAGATCTTCAGATGCACTCAAAGTTTAATAAACGTTGAAATATTCTTGAGATATATCTCCGGAACAATTTGAAGTATAAGTTGCGTCAGACTTTTCTCCTCCCTCATTTCATAGTTTTCATACACCCTTGAATTCACCAAAAAATCCTCTCAATACACTTCAGCTTCACAACATCGATTTTCATCAAACAATGCTTAAAGAAACATCAAACATCATCAATAACATCATTCAACATCATCAAAACCATAAATTTCATGAAATTTTTTTAGTTTTCGGTAATATTCAAGTTTTAGTGTAAATGTGTAGAAATCAATGATTGGGGGTAAAAATGTATAGGAATCGCATTTAACGTAGTTTGGACTTAGTTTATGACTTGTTTGTTGGCTAAAAATGGCGATCAGATCATGTTTTTTCAACTTGCATGAGCCACATTACGTCATTGTCGTGACCTCTGAGTTGCAGAACTTTTCGAAGATCTCTATAATAGTTCAACGTTTCATATACTTTGGGAATTTCTGAAGATACATCTCCGAAACTCTTCTAAGTTAATAGTTTTTAGGTGTTTCTGGAGATGTATTTTCGAAATTATTCAACGTTATTGTTGTATGGTGTTTCTAGAGATGCATCTACGAAATTTCCTGCAGTGTGTTATTTTTTTTAATTTTCTTGTTTGTTTGTTTTGTTTGTATGCACTAATGATATGCCTTAATTTACCTTATAGACATAATGGTTGATAGAGTCAACAGACAGAGACATGGCAGGGTAGCCCAACAAGCATTCGTTCGACGGGAGCAGAACCAACAGGTTTCGGAGGCAGCAGGTACCTCTAGTCAGGCAGAGGCGTCGACTTCTAGGGCGCAGTCTACTCTTGAGATCGTGCTTCTGTTGGTGTAAGTCCTATAGGTCATTACTTTTGGTACATGTATCGAATTATTTATTAATAATAAAAGACATTTCTTTATTATGTTTGTTTTTCCAAGATAATAAAATCTCTACAATAGCTAGTCTGTTTAATGAAATATTAAGTGTGACTTAATCATGAAATCCCATTAAACATAAGGACATTATTATTAAAATATTTGTAATCGGGCTTTACAATGAAGTGGGATAACCTTAAAGCATTCAAACTATTATATAAACAGACTGATGATCACATCTCATGGATCAATGGTAACGAGTTATCAAGTCTTAATATAAGTACGAATATTAAGAGTAATATTTATATTAGATTGACCCGCTATGAGAGCACTACATAGAATATTAAGTAAAGTGTCATAAGTTACTCTCATGGTGATAGTGGTGTATACCATCCTTCGACTTGAAACTACTATGGACCCTAAACGTAAAGTCTAGTACTTTATTGATGATCTAACATTGTTTGTAACTGGATGACCATAAAAATAATTGATGGGTACTCCACAAAGCATGTTGAGGGACATGAGTGACTTAGATGGAATTTTCCCATCCTGCATAACAGGATAAATATCTAAGGGTCCAATATTGAACTGGACAAGGATGACACAGTATATGTCTTGTGTTCAATATAAACATGAGAGCAAAAGAATAATTATACACACAAGTATTATCATAAAAGATTCTGTCAGATCACGTGATATTTTCGTGACTTGGGTAGTAGTGATATGTTGCTAGATACTGCTCATTGTTTATTATGTTAAATGTGTGATTTAATATAATTGTCAACGTTGCGAATACCTACAGGGTCACACACATAAGGATAGATTTTGATAAATGGTAGAGTAAACAAGGAACATCGTAAGGTACAACGCACTTGAGTAAATGTATAACACAGTAAGGTATGGTGCACTTAAGTAGAATACAAAATATGGTAAGGTATCACGCGCTTAAGTGATATACGGTACACCATAAAATATGGTGCACGTTCACTTAAGTGATATTTTTAGCCTGCAACCCACACAAGTGGTTCTATAAATAGAACCCTTATGCAGAAGCATTCACACTTTGATGAAATTCGGACTATGAAACCATGGCAGTATTTTTCCTTCTCTCTCTCACTCAAAGCCTTCAATCGTAATAACTAGCACTAAGACTGAAGAAATTCGTTCGTATGGACTGAGTAGAGGCGTTGTTCATCATACGTCGCTCGTGATCACTCCTTTGATTCTGAATAAAAGGTTTCATTGCCACAAGAGGTAATCGTTCTATCACCGATCATGACCATTCATGAGGATCACTAAAGGGAAAATTTATTTTCCATTGCGTTTTAAATAGGTAGAAAGAAGAAGAATAGGTCGGAGGAAGAAGAGAGAATGAGAACGAAAGAAGAATGGAGTAAGAGGAGGAAGAGGGAGGAGGACGATGAAGAAAGAGAGAAAGAAATGGTGAGAAAGGGAGGCGGACGATGAAGAAAGAGAGAGTGAGATGGAGAAGAGGAAGAGAACGACAGAGAGGTAGAGTTAGATTTAGGGTTTTTTTTCAGTTTATTTTATTTTATATATCATGTATTGTATGCGTGCGCGTCGATAATAGTTACGGTGCACCTTCACTCTTGACCACCCATTCCCTGTTTGATCGTTGATCCACGGTGCACTGACACTTCACACTGTAGGCCTTCTTTGGCCTACCACACTTGATTTTTCGCCCCCCTTGATTAACCTTTTATCTACCCTTAATTAACCTAATTAATTCATTTAATTAATTAACATATTTACTAATATAATTAATTAACTTAACCGCCAACCCTTTTATTTAATTAGATATTTGCTGATTTATTTAATTAACCTTTTCACTTAATCAATAATGTTTTATTTATTTAACTAATGGGTAATGTTAACTTGTGCCATAAGGGCACATGTTAAGAACTAAATTGAGAAATGTTATCTTTGAAATTGTGTACAGACTTTAATTAAAATATAAAATTAATTTTTAAATTGTTTTTCCAATGCAAATTTACTATAAGTGGGTTCCTTAACATGTGCCCTTGGAGCACAAGTTAACATTACCCTTAACTAATTAATCATTTATCCAATTAATAAACTTATGTTATTTTATTTACTAATTAACCATTTATAATACTTATTTATTTACTATCTATTAAAACCTATTTCACATATTTAATATAACATTTTATTTATTTAATAAAGATTTACTTAATAAAGAGAATAATAAAAATAAAATTTATTTATCTATTTAATAAAACCCGTTCATTTTATTTAATAATTTGTTTCTTATATAAAATTATTTCTACCTAGTAAGAAAAACCTAATTAATTTATAACTTTGATTAAAATTTTATTAAGAGCTAATTTATCTTTTTAATACCAATTTTCTTAAGATCATAACTGTGTGAACTTGATTAACACGATGTTTCTGTCTCTTCTATCCTTCCAAGTCCGATTTAATTCAAAGTATTAGCAACCTCACTCACAAGGACTCGTTTGTTAGCGTTTGTCTCGATTTAAACGTCCATATATGTTTTTTCTGGAATTAATCATGCTGCCAATCTTATTATTATCTTGTTTCGTTGTATTATTTTGTATGCATGTGTAATATCCAAAAGAAGAACTTGCGCATGATTTCATAAGTCGTGTGTATTGCACCACATTTGCATCATTATTTCTCGCTCGATCCTTGAGTCCTCAAGTCGATCAGCTTAAACTTTAGATCCTACCCTTTTAAGAAGGATTGTTTTCTCTTTTATTTTTTCAACTTAGATAAACCGACTTATTACAATTCAAGATGACAATTGAGATATAATTCTCCTGCCCCATAATATCGAGAGATGTAGAATCTTTTTTGCTTGAGAGAGGTATGAGGCATACTCGTTGACAAATCCGAGTTTTGAGCCCTTCTCTCAATGCGATGCAAAGACCATTTGCTACAAGTTGTGGTGGTTAAGTCGAGTGGTATCCCTTAAGATGACGACTCATCTTTTCTCCTATAATCAATCAGCAAACCTTTTCCCCTTGGGAACTTTGACCATTAGTTAATGGTTCCTTAATCCCTTTTAGGGGAACTACGAATACTCTGATTCCATTCCCGTCAGGATACGTAGGCACAAGATACAATTTCTTGGTGAGTATACTTAGAAATAAACCACTCGGTCTTTCACCCTTAGAAAACAACAATAGCACATTAAAACAAGTGGTTTTTGTAGAGTGTTACAGATGCTTAGGATGCTAACACCTTCCCTAAGTTTAACCAACCCCCGAACCTTAGATTCTCTAGCTTTGCATTTGCATTGCATCTTATGGGTAATTCAATATTTTTCCCTTCCTTTAGAAAAATTAAAGACCGGTGTTGAACCATGAATTAAGATTCAAGTTAATCAAATAATTTGATATCCAATTCTCACCGCGATAGAAATGGCGACTTCACTGGGGAATAGTTGTGGGTTTCCCCTAACTTGTTTTATTCTTATGTTTATTGT